GTGATCGAGTCTGGATCGAATTTATCGTTCGGTTCGTCCCGTAGGGCCAAGGCACCTGTAGTGCGGCTATTATTTTTCTCTGTGTGCCTAGTGGTAGGTTTAGGATTTCGTTTGCGATTGCTTGTACCGATATTTAACACCGATAATATGAGAGTCACAAGAAGAAGTGAAACGACGACGAGCGCAAGTATAACACTGCTTAACACACTATTTTTCCAATTAATATTTCCCGCCATTTGTTACGGACCGTCCGAGTCTACACACAACAACAATTGTACCAAATCAATGAATATTTGTTCACCACATCGCAGTAAGGAGCAATTCGTTTGAGGCGGACCTTCCTCTGTTACTCTTTAATCCAAATCAAATTTGTCCTGTTCATTTTAACTGATCATACGGTCTTGAACTAGCAGCAATTATTCTCATACCAACGGTTAGCTACATACCACTAAAAAAACCTGCTGCTTAAGAAAACGAATGCGTGAGAGGCAGAAAACTCTTTTTAAGAGGAACACCCTATTCGTTTATTAAATCTATTACTTGAGCCGGAATGGAAGGATTACTTCTATGGAATGTCTGATACAACGGTGAATAAAAATGTGCCAATGAGAGCATGGAATGTGGTTGGTCGAATGTGATTTATTAGTGACATTAATTTTTGTCGAACGTCAAAAAACAACTTGGGTGACCTGATAGTTTTAATTCTATTGATTTTCTTTCACAAAATATTCGAAGTCTTTGTCTATCACAGTATCTTCAAGTAAACCTGGATAAAACTGAAATCGAGTGAGAAATGCGACTATCAACTTTGATCTTGGACGTCTGTTAATTTAGTGCTTGTATGTAAAACTAATGAGCTCCATTTAACTTGCGATGTTTTGGACAACAGAAGTAAAACAGGTTGCATGTGAAATCAACCGAATCTACCACCATATATCTGCTTGTATAGGTTAGATAATAATTTTTGTCTATAGCGTTGAAATAGATACTTAGTTTACCATATATTTAATGTGGCAATTGGTAGTGAACGGATCCGTTATTGTTATCACGCAATGTCGAAGCCGTAATACTTGCATGGAAGCAACGTTCACTAGTGATCACATTACTTAGAAAAGGCGATATAAATACGGAAGAAGTGCATGTCTTCTACTTTGTTTAGAGAGTAAGTAGGTGGATTTATGAGCCAATGCACAACTTGTGGTGGGAAAGTAATCCTGAATTTTCTGTCTATTTATTGAGTTACAGTAAAATCCAGCTAAATTTAATTGCTGCTCAAAACGAAAACACTTGGAATGGATTATTCACTTCCCTCGGAGAACCCACAAACCTCATTATGGGTTGATATCTGTATTGCTATAAACTAACAGGAATATATATATATATATAAGAAATAACATAATATGGAATGCACGAGCATCAAAACTCAGTGCAACTTATTTCCGTTATGTGCATTTTCTTTCCAGTTTCAAGGTCACTCGTTTCTTTGCAGCCATGAGGTAATCGAAAGTTAATCAACGGTAACCATGTCAGGCACACAACGAATAAACACGATGATGCTTGTAACTGCTTCGTGGTTGATTAAGAAAGCCATCGATTGTAAAATCGCCTTGATAAAGGTTACCCACGGTAACCGAAACGTCGGCTTATTTTCACCTGTACCGGCATCGCTGTACTTTCAAAATTAGAACTTATACAAAACATATCACATGGCGCATCGATTTTTCGATACACTCCGAACGTTGTTCGGATCTGACACTTCGAAAGCCATTGGGAGCTTATCTGTCGATTACAGTCACTTAAGAATACTCCAAGCGATTAGACATATGTGGATCAGTTACTGCCCTAGTGTATGGGAAAGATGAGCACGTGAGACTGCACCGTTTATGGCGGGACCTGGAGCGAAAACTTTACAGCGATAACCGTATAACGTGACACAAGTAGAAATAACGCGGTGAAATGTAAGCAGATGATGAGAATCTGGTATACGTTTGCATTTCTGTCTTTTTATTCCTAAAAGGCGGAATGTCGAGAAGCAAAAATGAAAAGCGGAAAGCGACCAAAGAGTCAACGTGTGGAGATAATTGGTTCATGGTGAGAAATATACTGAACGCGATGAATGCTTTTCAGTTAAGAAGCTCCTGTCATAATTATCCCCTTGAAAGTGCAATGCATCCTCTTTTTAAAACGGTATCGGTTGATTTGCGTAGAGATTTGTGTGGAGGTTAAATGAAACAGCGCTTCCTGGTTATAATTTAGATTATGTGGACAAATGGGATATTCTTATGAATAAATCACGGACTAGCATGTACGAAAGGTTTTCATCTTCCTTTTACATCATTCAGACTTTGAGTCAAATGAGGCCGAAGTAGTAACGCACTTATATAATGATATTATTCAAACACTGCACTGAACCCAAAGGATGTTTCATCCGTCAGGCCAGTAAAATGTTGAATGAGAATCAACTCAAACTCAAATTGTTTTTGACATTATACCAAACAGATCACAGCCCCAACGTACCAACTGAATCCTCGCAAATAAATGATGCATGTGGGGTGAATAAAGTAGACGAAACACCACAAATGAGTATGAGGAAGATGTGGTCATTGGTCATCAGTGAGACCAAAGTTAAAATAAGTATCACATACTAGGACTATGGTGTTTAAACGTGAACGATAAATACGAGACGTTATAAATTCAACGCTCTTGGCAACTTGCCACTCAGTTTTAGTGTGAGTAGAGATGTTTTTCACCACCAGGTTGCTGAATTTCAGCTTCTGAGAAACCTGAAGCTTCTGTACCTTTCTCACAGGAAAGTGAGAAGAAACCTGGTGGAGCTCTTGAAGATATTACAGAATTTTCACATCTTAGCAGGAAACGTTTCTTCCTGAATGAATACCGAGCAATTTTTTTATACATATATTCCAGACACGTCTACGTCCTTCTGTGTGCCAAAACAATAACAGTACAGTAATTTTTAACAGAAAAAGTTGCTAAACTTGCTTTTTGGCGGAATACTGCCAACTTGTCCAGGCCAATACAGGTCAATTTTCTTGGGGAATTTATAAATGCGGCCATTGGCTAGCCAAATTTTGCCCCACGAGGCAGCTGGGCTTTGTATGAAAGCCGCATCCCATACGGAACCATGTCTAGTTCATCGGATCATATGCCCTCTGAACTGAGTCAAACTCCCCAGTTGCCCAATACACCTTGATGCCCAGTCGAGCATGTGAAATCTGCCGCAGTTGGTAAGGGTTGTGGGATTCATATGCCTCTTCTTAATTAATTTGGAATTAGAGTTTTTAACGAACTCCCCTGCTTATATTCCTAGTGTTTCACCGAGCCGGTTAAACACCAGTATGTTGGCTTTTGGTCCTTTCACTTTGAGGGGGAAACATCTCCAACACGGAAAGGTAGTGAGGAGAGCTTCCTCAGCAGAAGCCGTTTGAGGCGTTGCTCGCATAGGAACATTTCGCGAGCTGCATGGAAGTGGTGACCCGCAATAACCTGAGGCACCCACCCATGACCATATTGAGGCTTTTGGAGGCATACCTAGCCATAAGAGGTCAACAGTTCAACTTGGTAAAGCCTCATGCTATAAACAGAGAAAAGGTAAATACTTTCTCTCGCAGAGTGGTTTATACTTGGAATAGAATACCAAATAAGATAGTCTCGATGGGTACGATTGGCCAATTGAAAATGAGACCTCAGTATCATCTCTATCTTCTTCCACTATTTATGAAGCAGCTTCATCATTGAATCTTATGCTTCTTTGCACACTAAGTTTTGCATGTCTACGGCTTCGCCACTGTTTCTGCTAGAGGTTACTCATAACTCGTGGGTTGGACTGTGACTGGTCAACTGATGCTACTTTCGTCGATAGTAAACCGGATTTGCGTCCCTCCCGGCGGCAGTACTTTGAAAACACCATGGAGCTATCAGAAAACCATCGAAGAATGACAGGAAACTCATGACCGGTGAGTGTACGAACCTGGGCTATCATACTGGCTTAAGCTGCAATTTTTGTGAACTGTTCCTTCCTATGCTCAGTCGTATTTATGTCTCCTTGAACCTTTTGGGTCGTGACTTTTGTCTTATTTCTCCTTTTGCAGGTTGTCAGCACGGACACCGTTCTGTTCGTCGACGGTTCGAACCCATGATGGGAATCCGCCCACAAATGATGTCCCGGTGTACGCTGGAGCCAAAATATATGACAGTTAAGTGAGACAAATAATTTTCAAGTTGTAGGAGAAATCAAAATCCAAAAGTTCAACAAACATTTTTATCTCTCAGAGGAAATAAAAGTAAATCATCAGTGAAAGCTCTAAGGGATTCAGACAAACATACCGATGAAGATTTAAGTATTTTAATTATTGAGCACGGGTATGACCACAACAACCTTACCTGTTTAATTTTCATAAACACTATTCTGAAAAAAACATTAAAATATTCCATGATCATCACCATATTTTGATGACTTACAGTGCCTCGGTTAGACTTCATTAGCACCATCAGTAATTCATGTTTCTTAAGTCCTTTGGTAGTCGACCTTGATTCAAAATACTATAACAGAAGTTTCTATAGATCTTTTTCGTCACAGTGACAAAGTGTATTGGAATAATTTTATGCTGTTTTGGTAACCATGGTGTGACGTAGCCAAGTGAGAAATCACGTGTACAATCGATGTTTGATCACTGAATTTTCGGGTCACTGTTGACGACGGTCAAGATCACAAATTAAAATGAATGGCTCAGCAAATGGAGCGATAGACTGAGGTCAAATGGCAATCGAACCGTCTTTGTTTTGCCATTCTTATTATCGTCGTTAATAGTTTGCAGATCAATTTGTTTCATATATTTGCACAGATTGACTTCATTAACACCACACGGATTGTTTCATTTCATTTTGCTGTGCACAATGTTGATACTAGAATAATTGTTTTTGTGATAATTCGACCGATGGAGGGTGCTTCGTGGTGGAATGAGCGTTTATGGAACAGCCAGATGCGAGAAGATTCAAGGATTTGGAATCAGAAGCCACATGTTCAAAGCGGTTCCAACCACTTCGATCGGATAACTACAACTGAGGCCAACGGATCTGGAGCAGGAGAAACTGGGAAATGCCGTGAACGTCCATCTACCACTTCATATAAAAAGACCATCAATCCAATCACGTACCCAAACGTTTTACTCCAGTCTGCCCTCCAAAGACCGGTTATTTCAAGCCTACGTCCTGGTACAGCTGGTCGAAGTAGACCTCTGGGGACTTTACGGATATTTTACTTGTCAAAACCCCTATCATATAATGAGCCACAAAATATTCATTACCGTTCAAATGAAGATCGACAATGGGTAATGGATGCTAATGATCCGGAAAATATAGATACATATATCTCATCAACGACTGAAGATATTCCACTGTCCACGCAAACAACGCCACGAACGAAAAGTGCAAAACCGATCACCACAATAACGAACGCCTGCCACAACAGTTCGGAGGATGAAGAGCCGACTATATTTGAGGATCTCAGCTTGCTCAATCCGAATAAAACCAAGAACACTGTGAACAACTGTACCTTTCGTACGACACAAGAAAGACGATCTGGTGGTTTACCCCCTTCCGGAAGTCGCGCACCTCGTCGTGTGGCCTCTGCAACAGTTAGACAAAAGCCCAAACTGGCAACTTCTCGTAAGTCTTCGTATTCACAAGCGTACCGTTCCTCACCGTGGAGTCAATATCGCATGCACACCGAATGTGAGGAACCAAGGGATCGGACACAGGGCTCAACACCTAACGGCAATGGTCACTGTTCTTCAATCAGCGAACTGCTGCAGTTATTGAGACCACCTACTAATGGAAATTCACCCAGTCCGGGTTCACGTGTACGAAGTTCCGCAAGTAATAGCACCAATATTAGCAGTGTGCCATGTCTTTCGGTCTCCCCGGTCACATTTCAGTTAGCTAAAACTCCCCGCATGCTTATCCCCAGACGAAACAGTAAGCAACCGATGACGGAGTACCAAGGGTTTCAGAAGTCTATGACCATAAGCCGGGAATACTCTTTTGTTTTGGATCAAGGATCGCGCGTTGTTGACGAAGCTGCACGCCCCAAAACCGCCTCGGCACACATGGATTGTCAGAAACATTTGGAAAATTTGAACGAGGCTGAGAATAAAACGGATCAAACTGAATCAACCATTAAACAAATAAGAGAATCGATTGCCACAAAAACACCCGCACCATCGGAAATGAGCTTCGCACAGAGAACGCTATCTGAAGAATTTTGGGAAGAAAAACTCTCACAAGACGTAAAGGAAGACCCCGGGTCGAAAGAAAATGAGTTACTGGACCCCGCACCACCAGAGATTGAGGTGAAAATAGGTGATTATCTCGTCTCATCGCACATAGATCCAGTTCACATCGAACTTAAAGATACCACACTTGTTGCTTGTCCCCCAAAAATTATTTTTGAAGAGAATGCAGAAAACGTTTCGATGAAAAACGACATTTTTATTGAAAACGCATCGGCAGTGATCAATCTGACTTTGCCTTCTCAAGAGATGATAACTCACAAAGAGCATAAAATTGAATCTAATATTTTGTCTTTAGGTGAGTTTGAACCAACGGTATCAGTGACTTCAAAGCCAGCGGAACGTTCATTCTCTGACGTATGTCTGATTTCAGATGAAGTACACTCTTCAAAAACCAGAGAGAATACAATTCTTTCTCAAAACTGGGTGACGGATACAGAAAATCAGGTTTTAAGGAATCGTGAGGAACATACCATTGAGAAGGTTCGGTCAGAAAATTCCCAACCAATTTTGTCAATTCAACCACTGCAGTTATCAAACACAACGCCCAATTTGTCACCAGACACATCATTCATTGCACAGAAGAGCAGCGATTTGAATGTGAAGTTAACCCTGTTGAATAAGAAAGCTTCGGCTTTAGAGCAACAGTTGAATCAATCGAAAACAGAAAAACTAAATCGGCAGAGCGAAGAAGTACACACAGGGACAAGGGATTCCGCGGACTGTTCAGTTGAAAGAGAGGATATAATCCCACCAACAGAGAAAGCTTCTCTAACTATTGATATTCAGCTTCAACACGCTAACTTTTCCGACGAAAAATCACACAACACCTCTGCAGAAAATTGTGATATCGCATTACGGGATGCTAAAGAAGACAATATAACTTATGAGCCGTTTCCACCACACACCGAATCTGAACTGGGTGCATCAAATGAACAGAATCTAGGGGGCACAGACAACTTGGAATTTAGTGTCGAACCGCTCTGTGCAAGCCTAGCCACAAATGTCACTGTGCCAGACAAGAATACTTTGCAGGAGCTTCCGAAAAAGGAGAAAAGAATTACAAGGTCAACCTTTACTCCCTGTTCTGTACACAAAACTCCATTGATCAGCTCAATAATTCCTCCAAAGGTAATGCCTTCCATTACACAATCCAATATTACTGCCCAGTTACTGTGTACAGAGACACTTACAGAACTCTGTAAAGATGAGCAGCCCAAAGAACTAGCTGACATGAATTCCGCAGAAGAGTCAAGAAATTCTGCAACATATCCACTAAAGTCTATTCTCAAAAGGTCATGCTTGTCGGGACGGTCTTCTTCTAACGATATAAATGCCGGTTTGGAAGTTGTTCCATCGTTCAGTCGCTCCAGTTTCAACCGATGGACTATTTACACTGGACAACAAAGCACATCCATCGGCCGAAATATCACGAGACGTCCACAGTCCGCTCAGACAGGCCATCGAAACTCCTTATTTGGTGAAATTAATACACGTCATGGGGGGACAACTGGCTCTTACTCAAAAAGTCCTCGTTCTTCGGGGGCCACTCGACGTTCTATTGTGCGTTTCGACATAAAAAACAACTCCATTTTTGAATTTCATCCCTTTGACATTGTTCAAACATCGTTTTCCACCAACGATTGACGCGGTTTCTGTCGCTACGGATTCGGTTCGTCTTCTCTCACATTCATGTAAATAATTGATGACCTTTTCAAACGATAAATTATCCGGTTTGAAAGTGAATGTTTTATTTACCCAGCAATTCCTTTGGATCAGAACTGACTTCAAGGACCGTTTGTCTGATGGTTGTTGCGTTTTTATAGCGGTGGCGATTGTTTGCACTAGTCCGTTCCGTGTTAAATGGGCAAATTTGNTCAGCATAGATTAGATGATGAATAAAACGTAAATATAGTAAACAGAGGTAATTCTACTTCACTCGAAACGAACTTTTTCAAGATGGGGTGAGGATATGAGCAAAATTATATTGAAATATATGCTCCAAGAGGACAATTTGGTTTTTAGTGTCGACTGCAAAACATAATTTACTGGCATAACTTATTTGGAACCTCGGTGACTGTGACTTGGAAATATCAATCTTTTGTAGTGGATGCACAAGTTATTATTCTTTCATCTCATTGTAATCGAAAGAGGGTCACGTATCAGTGATCAACAAAAAGTGACTTCAATTGAGATAGTTGTCAACCATGGAACGACCAAACTGTATCACTAGTATGATTTCTTCAGCTTTACGGTTTCCATTATAGCTATAAATAGAAAGCACGGATAGTGATTTAGGGTTCCACAGTAGCGATTTGTGAACGAGAATCTGGCACAAAAGATGGGTGCAAGTTACGCACTGATGAGTTCATCTCACATTCAGGGCGATCTTTAATGAGAAGCTGATCTAGAAAATGTTTATGACAATAAGCATGATCAAATAGCTGCCTTCAAAGCAGCATTCTTTTAAGTTATGCGAGCAAACCGACGTTTGTGAGAAAGGCCGCAATTGCTGTAGCGTGATTCATTGTAAATAGAATTACGTAAGATAAATGACAGTAGATTACTGTGGACTGATGGAGTACAGGGAAGAGTATTATCCAACCGTTCTATTTCACAACGCCCATATAAACAATATAGATACAGCTAAAATAGTCCGTTGCAAATGGAGCATCTATTGTATTGCACAATATTATATTATACAGCATTGTATTGTAATGCCTTGCGCAAGCAAGTAAACCTACATTTCCGTCAAAAATCTGTTTACCGTTACAATGGAATAAAAACGGTCATAAGCAGCCCCGATAAAACGTGAGCAAAGGGTCATCCTTATACGGTTCAAATTATTTAGTTTAGGACCTTCCTCTTGTCAGCTAGAATACGTTCCAGGTAGAGTGTTGTTGAATTACGATAAATTTTATGCGGGAGGTTCATCATTTATCTTCGTAACATACTGTTAACTCAGTGACGTGATACAGAGATACAGTAAAATCTAAAATTCTGGAACAGTGTTTTCCGTGACAGGAGTAGTACATGAGATTTCTTTCTTTGTTTGTATCTCCAATGGATTACACTTTGCACAATAAGGCAAGATAACGCACAGTCAGGTCAAACATAAATATGCAAATAAATAAGTTTTGTACACCAACTACTCGGGCTGAAATAACTAATGACACTTGATGTACGTATGACAATCTGGCTCTCAAGTCCTCATATATTGTGCATGCAAAAACACCTTGCATGTTAATGCTTCCTTCATCAGGAGTTGAAAAAGGTGTAATGTTGTTTTAGACTATAAATGAGCAGCGGATATTTGTCGAGTGACCCCAATCGTTTACGAACAGTTGAAGGACGTTGGCTGCGGTCACTCAGGATGAACCTCTTGACGGATCTTGAAATCGCTCAAACAGCCGAGTAACGAACTCGAAAACTTGTGACTGTTCCAGTATTTCAATAAAGCACCTAAAATGGAGTTGATATTTAACTTCTATGTTTAGTTATCTTTGTTTGCTTGTAAACATTCTTTCATTATAATTAAACAATACGATATGCTTTATTTGTGCCTGTTTGTTTTCTCTCAGGGACTTAGGAGATTAAATCAAGGGTTTACACGTTGCGATACTTGTTTTCTTTTCGTATTGATGACATGGATAAAAAGGACACAATGTTTCCAAGTCGGATAAATCGAAGAAAGAGGTCCTTTAAGTTGGTAAAGTTTGCCTAACCTTACCGTTTTAAACGATTAGTAGAAGGATGGTAATGGCGAATTGTTTATGAAAGGATAAATGGATAATGAGATTAAACCAACGCTGTGAGATTCGGGATCAGGCAGTGTAGTTAGTCGTGAAGCGTAGTCTTGTATAACAATGAAAGAGTCATAGATTTTTCAAAGCAGTTAAAACTACTACCAAACAAGAAATAACACTGCCTCCAAATGAAAAGGGAATTTATAAAGCTACCGATGAAACACTTATTTTACTTTTCATACATAAAACTCTCAAAGTAAAACGTCCATCTTTTCAACGAAATCAGCATGAATCTTCTAGAATAAAACGCATTTGGTTGGTTTGGTTTGAGTATAGAAGTATCAATAAGTAGATTAGTAGTGTAATGAGAAACTGCAAAGAAAAACGGTAACGTTTTACCCATTGAGTTATTTCAATACAAGAGTGAGCAAATAAAGTTTGACGATCCTTTAACCAAATTATTATTTGTTATTTGATATTTGTAATCAGCAGTTTGAAAGCTTATTTTTTGCATTCACAAATGGAAAAATTCATGTTGTGGTTTAGTAATCCAATGGAAAAATAATAATTGCTAAGGAAATAGAACGTTTTGGACTCTCAATGAACATGAAAATTGTTCACAATACATAATATTAAAATAGATACATGGTTTGTTTACTTTATTTGCTTTAATTTGGACCTGATGCTCGACCGGATTCCAAGACAAGAGTCTCAATGAAACAGCCATATCTCGATAGAAGAGTTTATTTTAACCTGATTCTCGCTGATCAATTTTTAACTATTTGCTGATGGATTTACTAACGGGGTTTTAAATAACTATCTGTAGAACAAGCGTATTGAGTAAAACATACAAAAAACAAAAGAGGACCCAAGTGAGATCCCACTGCAATCCCGTCTTTCTGACAGTGCGTATCCCCACTGAAATGCAATTGCACATTATAAATGTAAATATAAATTAGATTGCGAAGTTCCTCAAACCAATTTTCATACACCTGCACTCCATCTGATTGCATAGGTAGTCTATGGTTTCTCCGAGAGGTACATTGGCGAATGGAGAGACCAAATCCAAAGAAAACATGAGCTTTCCTGATAATTCGAGTAACTCAACAGAGTCCACAGATTCACGGGATTCCCTCAGGCTGCAAGTCGCTAGTTCTGTTCTGATAGGCTTCAAGATTTCAGCTAACCATTTAGCTATTCCGAGGTGAACTGTACACGTCAAGTATTGGGTGCGTCGGTTATCCAGTTATATACTGTGAATCAGTGCCTTCTTATCGTTTTAAGTAAGGAAGTAATATCCGGTCAGATGACTGCCAATAATGGACTGATTGTGCTGTACAGTTGATCAGATAAACACCACTGTAGAATAAATTCTGCCTCATATTGACACTCTTCACATGCGCACACCCAGCACCATTATCCTATTGTCAATTGTCTTCCTTTGACCGTGTATTGTTGATTTCATCCTCTCATTGATCCGTGCCTATGACCGTTCTCCACGCCGTTTACACATACGTACGCACTATTAATATGTTTGCTCTATTACGTTGTCCTCTGTCGGTCTCACCCGTCCCATCGACTTGTTCCCATGATCGAGCGACTCTGACACCTGTGCATACACACACGTACGCACACACGCACGCACACAGCTACACCCATTTACCGCACCGTCCTGTCACGGCGGGCCCTGATGACTAACATTCATTCTCACTGTGTTTTGATTGGTTCCCTCTAGGTCACTTCCCAGCATTGACTACCACGGATTCATGTGATCTTGTTTGACATTGTTTGGTGTATTCGTTCTATTGTCATCCCATTACGCGCCTGCTTGCTCGCAGTTCTTGCCTCGAATTACTGGCCTCACAGATTCCGGTGTTTATGACCCGGCTAGTGCCACAGCTTGAGGTTTGCATATTTTACACTATTGTAACCTGTATTTCAGTACCGCTTGTGTAGAAGAAACCCATTTGTTGAAAGACACCATCTTCAGGGTTTTTTGCGCGTCACTGTACGTGGATCGTTGTAGCTTGTGAAGTCAACAACCACGTTCTTCAATTGAGTCATCTGTGCCAATCGAGCTAAGCCAGTGCGTTTGAGAACAAAATACATCAGAAACACAGGATGAATCAGGAAAACGCTTTTGCTTATAGGCAAATCGGTGGTGGGTGACAATCAAGAAAAGTCATTTTACAAATACGCAAAATGTTCGTAAATCCTTAAGTACCGTTCGTATATCAAAGACAGATAATGTCGTACAATTTATACAACTGATCATTGTTTTAGCCAAGCAGTGGAAACCACGGGATTGAACTATTTGGGGACATGCTATTCGTTGCGTGTTGAAATCTCTACTCTCTCGGGCTGAAAGCGCACAACCTTCGGTTCAGCCTGTCAACTATGCACCAAGAAAGCATATTGGATTTTACTTTATGTAATATAGTCCTTTTTTCGGTAGGCAGAAACCGAATAAGTTGAAATTTTTAATATGACTGCTGCTGAAAGCAGCTCTTGACGAAGCGTATTTCATTGTAATATTATATCTTAAACGCTGAGTTGTTGGAATGAATTGCTTACCATTGAGTTTCATAAGAATAGGGGAAAAGCGGTGAAATTACCTTTATAATTGCTCACAAATGTATAAACGGGTTCTTGCATTATAAATGATTGGTACGTACCAGGTGAACTTTTTTGACAGCTTTACTCTTTAACTAACATAATTGCAAGGCAGTTGCTCGGCTTAGATATACGCTCAGTGAAATCCACCCAGTGAGCTTAACGAATGGTTTTACATCCTTGACGAATTATCTGTTACTATAACATTGTCTGTTTTCATCGCACTTCAGCAATCATGAATTCAACGCCTCGGATCATTAATGAGGTTTTCCTTTTCATTAGGTCACA